GAAGGAAGGAAGGAAGGAAGGAAGGAAGGAAGGAAGGAAGGGAAGATGAGTCGCAGTTTGGGCTGGCTCCTGTGGATGGAATGGCCAGGAGGTCTAAGCCCAAAGGGTCTCTAGAGATCGGCCCTTGCTCCATTTCCTACTTACCTGGACTCCAGGGGCCATTCCCAACCCCTATTGTGGCCACCAGAAGTGGCCAGAAGATCACTTTCTTTATTTAACACAACCAGCTTTTTTTTCCTTAACAAAGTATGGGTCTCTCTCTCTCACACACACACACACAGAGAGAGAGAGAGAGAGAGGAGAGACTGTTTTAGGCTAGAAAAGGAAAAATAATTCTTAACACAGGGAAGATTGCCAACTGTGGAACTCATTGCTACAAGCTGTCGTGAGGGCTGCCAACAGGGGTGGCTTTAAAAGAGGGTTAGATCAGTTCATGGAGTTTAAGGCCACGCAGGGCCATTAGCCAGAACAACTGCGCATTAGTGGCCAGTATCAGATGGGAGGGGTGATGTAGTCCCCATATCCTGCTCATGGGCTGGCCAGTTTGGGGAAAAAGGACGCCACAGGACGCCGTCCTCCTGTTCAATTTGGCCGAGCTGATTAGGCACAGCAACTCAGAAGGGTGCCTCCATGTTACTTGGCAGTCTACCTGTAAATCCGAGCTGCTGGGGCCATGTGCAGGAAGGCAACCTGGATCCCACTGTGACCCGGATGGATTTTACCTGGTTTGTTTTCACTTGAAGCGTTTACGCTCATGTTTTCACTGCCGGTCATTCCTGTGCCGAAAACCAGCAGTGAGCAAATGGCTGCACTGTTTGGTGAGGTGTCTTTTACAAACGCACTTGTGCGATCTGCTGTGTACATGGCTGCCCAACACGCACAACACAACCCAGGTGCAAAAGGCCAGTTGTGCACCTGGAAATCCCCAACAGGATATTGGTTGTGATATTATTCACACACATGCACACAGACACATATATGTACGCATACATGTATGCATAACTACACACACACACACACACACACAGAGGAGCCAGCAGTTGTGGCCCTCCAGATTCCAGATGTTCTTGGCCCACTGCTCCCATTATCCCTGGCCACTAGCTTTGCTAGCTAGGGCTGCTGGGATTTGTAGGCCAGAAACAGCTGGAAGAATGGCCCTGTTGCCTATCCTTGCTAAATATACAGTAGTGCCTCGCTTAACGATTGCCTCGTTAAATGACGAAACCGCTATATGATGACTGTTTTGCGATCGCAAAACAATGTTTTAATAGGCAAAATCTGCTTTTACAACAATCAGTTCCCTGCTTTGTGAACCAATTCTTCGCATTACGACGTTTTAAAAACACTGGATCTGCGGCTACAAAATGGCCGCCCGCTATGTAAAATGGCTCCCCGCTGTGTTTTTGGACGGCACCGAAAATGGCCACCTCTATGGAGGATCTTCGCTGGACTGTGATATTTTCAGCCCATTGGAATACATT